TGGAGGAGATCGTGTGAAGTGGAGTTGAGAACCTGTGGGTAATTATACATCCAGAAAATGATGAAGAGAACAGATTCAAACGTCAGTGTGCTCCTGATGCCTTAAGTTTCATTCGGAATAATTAATAAAATCAAAGGAATGTACTATTGTTTAACTTAGTAACTGAGGTTAAATTAGACTCATGATCTAAACAGACACACTGTTTACTAAGTACTAATGAATTCATATAGATTCATAAATCCTAATGTTTCTACACTTAAACATTTCAAAAATATAAAATGATAAGCATGTGAAAATCCGGGTGAGTTCATTAATGTCCACGACATGCTACGGACTTGCTGATAGTTCTAACTATTAGTGATAGTGTCGCTGATCATAGGTTCATCTGAACTACACAGTGGTTATTCAAAGTTTGCAAAGGCGTACGCAGATTGTCTATGCGCACATCGTATTCTTAAAACGATTTGAAGAATGATTGGACGACATAGGTGGAAGAAACCTTCCAATGACATTACATTTCAAGCCCACGAACAGAACTCATAACTGAGTTTAGGCATCTGCGGTTGACGCAGGCGATAGCATTTAAATTGGGGAATAAAAGGGCGCGTGCAGTCATGCGGCCAATGGAAGTGATTACAAAGACTCGAGTGCATGAGTATATTCTTCTGAAACCTCATATTCAACACAGAAAGCAAGGAATAAATGAATAATGCTATCATAATAATGAGACAGTTTGAGGACTTATGACTATTCAAATAATGTTTTTGATGGTGACAGTAGCCTACTCAAACATAAATACTGCACGATGACAACATCCGTTTGATTGGTATAAGTATAAAACGTGAGCACTGTGGTGGAGTATAACTCCATTAGTGGATAAGATTTTATTTTGATAAATCACACAGTGATATACAGTAATATTAACTGATGACGTTTCGACCATAAACTATTGCTCATAATCATATCAACTTACTCACAAAACTTTCTTGATTCATTTATATACTTGTGTGGAATGGACTATATATTTAAATAAAAATCAATATGGGATAATGTACATTCAAAAATAATAATATTAGTGTTATTGGTCAGTTACAATCAGATGGGAATTAAATGTTTTTATTTATAATATATATTTAATATTATTTTTATATTTCTGTCCAACCTTGAAAGAACTAAGTTGAAGCATGCAACTGACGAAAAAACTTCCTACTGCCAATGTGTTGATGGCACATTTATAGTATGCAACAATGAAAGTCATGCTTCACACGTACTCACATTATTCACTGATGCACACACCAATATTGAGTTCACTATGGAACATGAAAATGACGGAAAGTTTTACTTCCTCGACATTACCATGCCACGCCTAGAAGACGGTAGTCTTCAGAAGTCAATTTATAGAAAGCTGACATTGAAAGGACAATACTTACATTCTAATAGCTTTTAACCAAATAGCTTTAAATGCGGACTAGTCAAGACTCCGTACTATGGAGCGAGGGGAATGTGCTCTTTAGAGAAATAAGAGGAAGAATTTGAGTTTCTTGAAAGAACATCGAAGAGCAATGTGTACCCTCAAAAGTTCATCAACAAGTACGAAAGATCTGAAGTTTCAAATGTCAAGCAAATCACAGTGGAGAAAAAGTCCGTCTACATTCAACTTGATTTTAAAGGTGAAAATATTGCAGCAATGGTCAACAGATGACTGAGTACATCACTAGCCATAGCGTATCCTGCAGCTAAGCTCGTTCCCACCTATCAAACCGCTTGCTCTTTGGTGCAAACAAAATCGACAAATATCCTTTTCACGTTAGCTCCAACTGTATATACAAACTTGCATATATCTGCGGGAGCAGTTACATTGGAAAAACATAGAGAAGAGCATATCTACGATTTTTTGAACATGTACCAAAAAGCTTACGTCCAAAGGGAACAAATGCTTTAAAAAGTGCCATCACCAGGCATCTCCTAGACACGGGTCATGAGGTGGACGTCGAAAAGTCGTTCAAAATTATCAATAGACAAAAGGGCTCAAGCGACTGAAACCTGATTTGTGCGTCCAGAAAGAAGCGATTGTCAGTCTTTCTTTGTCCCGGTAACTAGATATTTTCATCTCTTTTTCATCTGAATACGTAATACTGAAAGGTTATGATTATTATTGTTCGTATGCCTAGTCATCGCCTTCCTCGACGAGCAATGCTAGCGGATATAGGGTCAGGCTGGAAAAAAGCTAGCGGAGGTCAAACAAAAACATCGCGTCATCAACCAGTCAATGAAATCTACAACAGTTAGTCTAAGCCACGTAGGAAGGTGTAGACTTCCTGTTTGGGGTCCTTGGAGTGGTAAAAACCAATGGCGGCTGGAGATAATTGGTCACATGGCTCAAAATCGTTCTCAGTGGCGCAGATGCATCCACTCCTTGTGATTTATGATTTCCGATGAAACTGTTTTGTTCTTCGTTATTACTCTTCCTTTGTCTCACACCTCTGCTTACTGTTTCTATTATGCTTTTCTTGTGCTTTCTTCTCTTGCTTTGTGTGCTACATGGAATGTGGCGATTTGAACTGCCGCACATATGTGCAAAGTTCTATGTCGAAAACAGACAGATAGATCGTTCGGAATAGTGTTTAATACTACATATATATATATATATATATGTATATATATTATTTCTGTATGCATATATTGATCGATTGATTTTTTTTGTTTAAAATGAACTCTGTGCAAGTATGTTAAAATTTTTTTTGTAGATATATTTAATAATGCCTTTCCTCTGTAAGCAGATGACTAGAAGGCAATGAAATCAAAGATGGTACCACTTTACTATTCTGCTAAAACTGTAGTTCTTGCTTTGTTCAAATTCATTCAGGGGAATAAATGTATGTTTTTATAGCCAAAATAAGTAACTTGTTAGAATGTCATGATGTACTTGAATTGAAATAGAATTTTAAGATTATTTATTATCCGCCTCTGATTTGACTGGTGGTAATATGTCTTCAATATCTCTGGTATTTGAGTTGAGTCATTTTGGTTGCATGTGTCCAAGTTTTATGCTTATAACAATAATACTGTAAAGTTTCCTTTATCAGCTTTTGTGATAACGATGTTTTTGCATGGAGGATTTAATCGTTAGCTGACATCAGTTAGAGAACCACTGGAAAACCTGGGAGTACTGGACAACTGTTTCGTCCTAGTTTGGGACTCTTCAGCAGTACGCACCCACCGGGATTCGAATCCAGGACCTTCTGGTTACAAGGCAAGCTCGTAGACCATTGAGCCACTGGGACCCGATCCAATGGTCCTTGAATTCTAACTTCTGCCAATTCACGACATAGCGCGACCACTTCGCAACCACTTCGCGACCACTTCGTCCCAAACTAGGACGAAACAGCTGTCCAGTACTCTCAGGTTTTCCAGTGGTTCTCTAACTGATGTCAGCTCATGATTAAATCCTCCATGCAATCAAACAAAATCCCTACAAAACCAATACTTGAAAAACGATGTTTTTATCATTTCTAAGATTGATTAGAGCCAATCTTTCATATTTTGTTAAGTTTGACTGTGTTTTTTTTTGTTTCACAAGAGTTAATGCACATTGAGTTTGAACATCTTCTGCTATTGTCTTATCTATTCAATTTAATGTTACTTCTATGTTAGGGATGACATATTCTGGCTTTAGTTTGCTAACCGTTTCTTTGAAATTAAATCCCTTTTTCAAGCAGTTTTATTTCACCAGAGCTTGATTCTCTTGAAGAGAGAGGTTGATTGTCCACTTTGTTTTGTCAATAGAAGATGAAATATTGTTGTCAACTTCTGCGTTTGTTGTGCCGTTCATTTCTTCTAATAATTTGTTGAATTTCTTAATTTACTGAGTGGTCTTTGATTTTGTCAAGGTTGCTCCCCTAGCTTTATTGGATTTTTCAACCACAATTTAATAATCTTTATCATTTAGCGTACATTTGAGTTTGTGTTTGAGTTTTTCGATTTCATTTCGTATATTCTTTAGCTTTATAATAATTCTATTCAGTTCTTCTTTAAGACATGACCTGCTTACATGTTTCGCTGCTGCTGATGTTTTCCTTGAAGTAATTCAAGTACGTAGGTGTAAGTTTTCCAGAATTATATCACTTTTTAAACATTGACTGTTGAAAATCCTAAGGTTTGTGAATCACACTTCTCGTCAGCAAGGTGTATCTGCAACCTTGAAGGAACTCATATCCCTTCTGAGATTCGAACCCGTGTCACCAGTCAGTGCTGCAGTCAGAGACGTTACCACTGAGCTATTAGGACTCGTGATTGACCTCCTGTAGGACTGTAATGGGTATTTTGATTTGACACTAGTAACTAGTGCGATGTGTCTAGTCCTCTCATTGGTGAGGACTGAATTCTATCAGTCAGGTTGTAATTTGACCACCATTATAGGTAGCTCGCCATCACGATGCACGTTGATTTGATGAAATTGGATGTTTCGAGTGCCAAATGTGTGCCGCGCGCTGGAATCTCAGAAGGGACATGAGTTCCTTCAAGGTTGCAGATAAGCCTTGCTGACTAGTGAGTGCCAAATAGTACGAAACCTAGGTCCAAGGCTTCCTGTGGCCGATTACCTCCAACCATCTAATATCATCTAATCAACGTGCATCGTGATGGCGAGCTACCTAGAATGGTGGCCACATTACAACCTGATTGATAGAATTCAGTCTGCACCAATGAGAGGACTAGACACATCACACTAGTTACTAGTGTCAAATCAAAATCTTGCTTCTGTTTGACAAAGTTGGGTGAGTTTGTTGATCAGCTTTCTAGTAGTGTAACAACAGAAGACAAGGGCCAGGCAACAGATCGTTTTATTATGAAAATCAACACGTATTTATACATCTTTCAACTACATTATTATAGACAAGCGCAGTCATCTGATTGGTTGTTTAGGTAGACAAACGCAGGCTTCTGATTGGTTGATTCGGGATTCCTTGACAAATAGAGTTCTCTCTGCGAATCATATTTTGCCACGTTAACTTTGCTGTGATTGGTTGTTGACTCAGGCTTGTTCATATTTTCTCACGGCCCATATTAGTGACCTAGACCTTAACGTAGATTAGTGCCAACCAATCGGCTAGCAGCCTGCTCTCACCACAGTAGGAAGACCATATGTATTATTGATATAAGTATAAAGTTTAGGCACTATGGTAGAGCATAACTCCATTATAGGTAAGATTTTATTTTATACATTGTATAAACATGTGTACTATCTGTATGTTTGTTAATATATATATATATAACTTTTGCTATTGGCACGAAAATCACTATTCTCACGCATGGCTGAACTATTTAGTGTCCTCAGTGAGACATAGGCGTTGAGTAGTATATTACCATCCTACCTAGTTCTCTACTTCTTTATCTTTCCTTGCTATCTCATCTTGTTCACAGTTGACAAACATGATAAATACTTGAGTAAGGGGAAACATGTAACCATTCTTATAGAATTCCATTAGAGATAATTTCCATGTCATTTCTAATCTGATTTGACAAGGGTTGGTAAATCTTAAGTGGAACGCTTTTTGTTATCTAGTCGTCCTACATTTTATTTAATTGATATGAAATTTTTACGGTCTGAAAATCTATCACTTTATACTTACTTAATAAAAAGATTTTCACTAAAGTTCTCAGTAAACAGAATGAGTCTATATCATGCAAATTCTGATTATGGTGATGCTATATGGCTAATTACAAAAATGTTTACTTTTGACTACCTGTCAGTTTGCTTATGTGTACTCTGTTATCCAGTTTCAGTGAGCTATCATCATGTCCTATTTTTATAGCCATTGGAATTATTGGCCACTTTAAATTTAATGATTCTCTTGAGTGATTCCATCAACTAGTCAGGAGTCACTTTTTTTAAAGTTTGACTAAAATATTCAAATGTGTCAACTGTTTTGTGGTGGGATGCTTGCCAGACAGGTGACACATGATTAAGGCTCAATTCTCAGCTGATGCACTCCTGAAACTCGCCTAGTCTGCAGTAAGCTCAACAAATGAGGAATTTTTTTTAGTTTGAGGCCACTACTGGGACACAGAAGAACGAGAAAAACAATCATATACGGAAAAAGCAATATGCTTGTTTTAAGTAAGTCGTTTGTAACAACTTTACGATGAGAGATGAATAGAAGAATTATTCCACTGTACTACTGAGGATCACTTTCGGTCCTGTTGATGGATGCCAACAAGAGACTTCAGTTTATGAGTGTGGCGAGTGCTTTGCGCACAGCGAATTAATGTGCCATTCATGAAAGAATTAAACTTCCACCTTTAATCTACTAGCGCTTTTGCGGAAAGGATTGGGTTACAATTTACGTGAGATTAACAAGAATCTTAGTGTACATTTTTAAACTCATAACAGTGACAAGTTTCGATGTTTAGATTTAAGTAGTATTTTAGGGTTCATCAAATATATAGTACTGTGCTCAATTTAATGATTATGTCTTAAGTAGGACTCAAAGGCTTACTATGATATAGTCTGAGCATATTTTCTTCAGATCAGTATACTGCTAATAGATTTACGGAGATATTTTCTTCAGTTTGTTTGAATTACGCTTCAAGTTTTACTGCAGAAGAATTTGCCATCCTTTAAGTTAATTCGTAGATTCAGACTGCTTTCTAAGTTCACATACTCTTCGCTGGATGTTTGCTGCAAATAAGGATTCTGCTGTTTTATTTCCAGTTCCTGAATTGAAGAGAGCTGACTTGTAAGCCGGCAAACATATGCATACTCAAAATTAATCTCATATCGATTAAGTCTCCTTTTTTATTCCTTCACATACTCAGTAGAACACAGGTCTTCGAGCTAGAGGCTTGAAGTTTCAGTAGCGGTAGTGTTTATTTTTACGAGGTGAGGTTGCTAGTCTCACATCTCAACCTTTCCTCTCTGCCAGTCTTATTACTGGCTTAATGAGCTTGAGGAGTGCGCCGGCCGGAGACTGACCCCCAGACCACATGCGTGGTTGGCGAGCATTTTACCACTGTGCCACCGACGCACAATTTAATCTCTTTACAAGATCAAATGTATTGAAATGAATGAAATGAAATCCTCCGACCGATCAAACAAATCCCTACAAAACCAATACTTGAATATCGATGAGTACCTCACTAGTGACTGGCCCTATTAAGGTAGTTAGTTGTCCGGGGTATTTTTGGGAAGTCATGACCACTAGGGTGCAGCAGGTTGCGTGTGAGGACAATCACTAGACGAAGACATTGGCTTGTTGGTCGCGTTATTCCGTGAATTGGCAGAAGTCGGAACTCATGGATTGGCTATTTGAAAGGGTCATAGTTGCTGACTGTTCTATGAGCTTGTTAGCCTTGTGAGCAGAATTTCCTGGGTTGGAACCCTTTCGATGGGCGCGCACCAATGAAGAGTCTCAAACAAGTGGGACGAAACGGCTGTCCAGTACTCCCTGACTAGTTTTCCAATGCTACTCTGACTGATGTCAGCTCATGATGAAATCCTCCAACCGATCAAACTAAATTGGTACAAAACTAATAATTGCGAATGAAATTAGTTTGAATAGGATTATATTTAAGGAAATGCTGCTTACACTACTTACTATGGTAACAAATGAAAATACATTATTTTTAGTGTAGATCTGATCACAAAACAACTTTAGACAGACAACAAGTCAGATATCGGGAAGCGATGGGTAGCTGTTTTATATTCAAACTCTCCATTTAAACGCACCTATGATCTCACTAAGAACCGAACCCACAACCTTAGGTTCGTGAAAATAAATCGAAAACTACAAAATCCCGAATCAGCACGATTCATTTTAATGGGTACTCGAGAAGTCTAACGTATCCATAGAGGATTGAAGGAGCATTAGAGTCTCATGGTTTGTTATTGAACAGTTAAACAAACTCTGTTACTTTTGTACAGAGGAAGAAAGTTATAACAGAAGTTTAACATATTTTTGTTTGTTAACATTATTTATTCCTTCAGTAAGGATTAATGTAAGAACGTCATAGCAAAATGAAACATAAGGATGATTAGCTGTCTTAGTGTATTAAATCAATGTGTGTGTGTGTCCATCAGTTTGACCGATCCTGTAGAGACATTTTATTACATTGGGCATACAATTAGGCAGGTTTATCATTGTACTTCTGAATATAACCCTGAATGGTTAAGCAAGAGACAAACAAGATATACTTGTAGCTCTGTTTCAGCACACCTTTATGATAGTGAGCATAAATTTGATGTTAATAAAGTGTAGTTAAAGTTACTTATCATATCTCGACTAATAATAATTTTGCTTTGCGAGTTTGTTTTCTGCACACCTATATATCAAGTCATCGAAATCTACCTAAAGAAGCTAAACATGTCTTCAGGAGTTCATTCACCCACTTTCCTAACTTTGCTCATCGTTAAATGAATTTAAAAACCTGACAATTGTGCTCTTCCCTGAGTCTTTTACAATTTATCACTGGCTATTCAAAGGCGATAAACCTAGCGAACTGATTACGAAAAAGTTCAGAAAATCAGTTCAAAGAAATTTTATTGCCGATAAACAACAAGTCTTAATTATTACACGATCAGTGGTGATTCTTCAATCGGAAAATGAAGTATCTAGACCAGCCATTTCTAATTGTATCTACCAACTCAACCGCGCTTGTGGAGCGAGTTATACTGGTTGTTGCTCTAGAAATTTGATTTCTCTTCTTCGCTCAGGAACATCTAAAACTGTGGCTAAGTAAAGGTGTAGTAAAAACCACCAACAGTTCGATATCAAACCACCTGGTTCAAACCAGCTGGCCACAAAACCAGCACTGAAGAATCCTTTTGCTATCATCTACAAAGTGCCAAATAAATTGCCAAAAACATTGAGATACAGTATACTTGAAGCAGAAGAGGCAACCGCGATTCGCCTTGAAACACCAGTGGTTTCTGTGCAAAAAAAGCAAGTCCAGCTAGTCACTACTATTTCCTTGGTCTTTAGTAGAGACTATGAATTCATGCATTTGCATTATTACGTTTCTTAACTTTTCTGATATTCAGTGTTTTGTTGTGTTGATGCCATCGAAGTGTAATCTGTTCAAATTATTATTGATTGGATGTTATTTAAACAAAATTAATGTTGTTCTTAACACTAATTTACTCATTATTATGTATATTTAACTGTACACCTTGACGATGAGTAAGTTATCGAAAAGAAAATTCGTTGTTCAGTAACTACTGATTCGAAATATATTTCATCTCTGATTGCTTATTACTTAATCAACTTGAATAATATTTTACTCCTTAATTACTCTTAATTTTTTCAAAGTTATACATTATGCAATTCAATTGTTTGGATCATTTCTACTCTTTAATTGTTTGTATTTAATTTCTTGGTCAATTTATCATGCCCAACTGACATGTTGATTTCGACTAATTATTGCTGACAAACATTGGTGAACATTTCTGCTTTTTTATTTTTGATTGTAGCTTAATTCCACACTGTATTATTGGTGCAAGTATGGTACAAGAATGTAAACAACACTACTTTTCTCTCTGTTCTTCCAATGTTTCTTTTCGGCATGTAGATTAGTGGATACAGTTGGAGGTAACATGAGGTGGGATCTTGTTCCCTTTGATTGTATAAACACCTGGTCGTTTGATAAACACATTATTGGCGGTTGGATACATTCTTTTCAGGGTAATGTTCAGTCCGCATTTGATTCTACCAGTGGTATCATATCACCTTTGAAAGCATGTTGTAAAAAGATGAATATTTTCTCCAGGTTTCTTTTTTATGAAGATATACCTTTCAATTTAACCATCTGTGCCAATTTGGATATCATGATAAAGAAAGCGAAACTCGCCCTCACTTTCATACTCCGCTATAAACTTTATATTAGGATGAAAAGTATTCAGGACGTTGAATATTTGAGATTCCTCAATAAAACGATCACAAATGACTGGTGTGTCATCGGGCATAGCTGGCATGCAATAATTGCATAACTAGATGTAATAAAATACATTGAATAGAGCGTATAACATCGAGAAATCAGGAGAATCGTGCTCTCCTACGTTTGCGTAATAATCGCCTTCTATTTTTGATCAGTGACTCTTTAATTCCTGAGGAACCCAATCGCAATACAGCAGATTAGCGTTGAATATTCTCCCTAATATAACCTGTCGCCTCATTACAAAATTATATAGCAAATTGTAAAAGTTCTGCAACTTGTCTGCATAATTTTGCTAAGCTGAAGGCATAAACTAGTGTCCGAATAAAATAAAAACAGCAAGGCATTCTCGTGAATTTCTGAGTTGTTTTTGAAATTATCTAAAGTTTTTTTTAGCCAACAAAAGATATGCAAAAATGACACGCGATTACGTCATTCGCAGCATTTCGTTTTTACAGGCTTTTACACTGCTTTTTTTGCTTTTTTACAGAAACAGTGTAGTCATTTTATTCTTGTCATTAGTAAATATGAGTGAATAAACGGTATTAAAATTTTATGCGTGTTTTTTGGTGGTGGTGGTGGTGGTGGGGGGAGACGGAAGGGGATATTGTCAATTTATTGGATAAAAGTAAAACGGTGAACTGTCATATACATATGTTATACAACTAAAAGAATAAAAAGTTAGCTTGTCGAAATGATAAATGGTGAATAGGTATTCCCTCTTTTGTATGGTATACTGAATACCTCCTTTTTCTGTCTAGACAGATAAGGTAATTTATTTCTAAAGGTAGTAGTAATTGTAATAACAGGATAAGGAAAGGTTAGAAAAAGTGTTTCTGATGCATCACATCTGAGTAAATAAGTATCGGTTGCATAAGCACAACTTGCTATATGTTGTATACATTCGTCAGGCTTGCTATTTTCAGTAGAAGTAGTGTTGCCTTCCACCGGATGAGGTTGCTAGTCTCATTGCTTAACACTCCATCTTTCTCAGGGCTTACTATCGACCATTTTACGAGCTAGTCGGTGGAGAATGAAACTCCATTCTCCATGAATGTGTTCTAAAGGAAAACGTTCACATTTTCAGATTGTCACAGTTTACAGACAAGGCTGCCTACTATCGCCAATGATTATTCTGATTGCAGTCGATTGGATAATGCGACAAACAGCGGGTAGTGAGGAAACGCATAAAATGGACCCACACAAAAACTTGGAGGATATAGACTTTGCCGACGATGATATATGTGTTTGATTTCCCACAAACTGGAAGATATGCAAATGAAAAGTAACAAGTTGGCCGAAGAGGCATCCAGAGAAGATGGGACTTCAGGTGAACATAGATAAAACAGAAGTGATGAAGATTTCTGACCATCAGCAACGACAACAACAACAGACAACAATCAGCATAAATGGGAGTGACCTCAAAGAAACAACCTCCTTTATCTACCTGGGAAGCATCGTTCCAACTACAGGCAGAACTGACGAGGATGTCAAAGCAAAGATCGGAAGAGCAAGACAAGCTTTTATTTCTATCAAGTCTCTGTGGAGGTAAACAGCACTCAACATGAAAGCGAAAATAAGATCCGGATTTTCAACTTCAATGTGAAGTCACTGCCACTCACTATACGGATCAGAAACTTGGCGCGTCATAAAGAGCACCTCAAACAAACTACAGACCTTCATTAACAGCTACCTGTCTTCGCTCACTACTCAAGATCAGATGGCCGACCAAAAAAGACCAGCAATAGGGATCTCTGACAATGAGGGAACCAACAAAACAGGAACCGACTGTGCAACAAACATGGAAGAAGAAAGAGAGGTGGATTGGCCATACTCTGAGGAAGCCATCAAGTGACATCACTAGACAAGCCGTCAAGTGGAACCCGAATAGGACGCGACGAGTTGGTCGTCCAAGAGTGACTTGGAGGAGGTCATGTGAAGAGGAGATTAAAGCATGTGGGCAGAGAACCGAACGCAGTGGAGACTTGAGGCTGAAGCCCTATGCTCCTCTAGGAATTAAAGGGAACAATAATAATAATAAGTAATTCTCAAAAATTTTTAGTCTAGAGCCTTTATCACCATTACTTGATGCATATTTACTCTAAATAAGTCGATTAATAAGGCTGAAAGTACTCGGTCAGGCACCTAAAGCATTCCATAGTTCGTCGGGATAAACTCTGGGTAGTTAAGTTAGCATCACTGTTCAACATTCCAAATCCATGAATATACTTTGTTCTGTCTTGACATGCTAATAACCATGTGAGAGAAGAATATAAGAAACTTGTTAACGAAATATTCATTTACACTTTTATACACAAATATAAGGAAAATAATCATACTATTTATGAGTTTCACCATTTGCACAGGTCTTCCTTTATGTACTGCTTCTGTCCTCCATACTGTATGTTTTTGTCTTATTTTTATGTCTCCCATTTTTTCCGCAACACTGGTTCATCTGTTCTCTCTTTGACGTCACACCTCTCTCTCTCTCTCTCCACTATTTGATGTTTTTGTGCCAATGAACGTCTCTTTATATACTACTGATAAGACTTATCAGTAGTACACGTCAGAAGTACAGTGAAATTTGGAAGATACAATACTTACACTATTGTATCACTTTATCCTCCATGCCCTTTGACACTTACATCGTCTAAAAGTGAACAGATGAATTATTTACAAATTTTCATGCATCCAAAAGTCACATTATCAAAGAGATATTAGTAATAAAAGTGCTTCGTGATGAGGAACCGCAGTTTCCAGATTGCATAATATCATGTGATATTTTTCTACATGTTATTCACCAAACATTTTTAAAAGGGGATTATTGATGGCTCAGTTAGTCATCAGTAGGAGGGAATCACTATAATCTTATCATCATTATTGTCCCTGTGGGTTCCGTGTGCAATGTACACTTTTAGCATACGATCTCCATTTCACTCTACCCTCTGAAGTCTTCTTTGGCTGGCTCCATGATTGACCATACACTTTTGTTTCCTTCTCACACTTCCTTTTTCATGCTACTCTCGGATCTACACCCACCTCTTCACTACTCATTTATGTTCCTCTAGGTGGTCCACCTAGCGCGTAATGTCATTGAATGGTCTTCATTTCCTTCTTCGTGCTTGCTGATTGGTTCGTTGCCACAATTTCGTGCTGCTAATCATCTCAGGTCAGCCAACTGATCTTCAATATTTAGACTATGAAGGCGACTATTGATAGAAGTCTACAGCTTGTCGGAAATGCCTTTGATGACCCACGCGCCAAGTCAGTGATTAAAACAGAATAAGTGATTTGAAATTAATGTTGTAGATCCTAATCTCCTCCTTTATTCTGAGTGCGGTAGATTTCCATGTTGTCCATCTGTTTTGACTAGTTATGACATCCACAGTGCTGCAGCCTGTAGTTCAAACGATGTTAACAAGGTGGTAATTAAAAGAGGTGATATCCTTTAGATTTCTGCCTTTGATGGTGACTGGTGCTCATTCTTGTTGGAAGGCAATCCAGTCGAATAAGACCGATGTCAGCTCATGATGAAATCCTGCAACCATTCAAACAGTATCCCCGGGAAACTAATACTTGAAAACTAATCTGATGCTCACTAGTGACTGACCCTATTCAAAAAAGTACTTGCCTGGGGTTCTAGTGGGAATCTATGATCAGTAGGGTGGAGCATGTTGAAGGCGGGGAAGTAACTCATCGGAGAAGACATTCCGAAGTGATCGCGCTATATCCTGAATCGGTTGAAGTTAGAATTCATGAGCTGCCCATTTGATCAGGTCTCAGTGACCTAACAGTCTATGAGTTCGCTAGCCTTGTAATCAGAAGGTCCTAGGTCAAAACTCTGAAGGTGAGTGCGTACTGATGAAGGGCCTCAAATTAAGACGAAACAGCTGGATGTCCAGTAATCCCTGACTGGTTTTCCAATGGTTCTCTAGCTGACGTCAGATCTAAATGAAATCCTTCAACCGGTCATACAAAATATTCTCACAAAACCAATACTTGAGGATAAGACTTTGTCACTTGCTACATTTCACTGAATCGAGGAAAGACACATTTTCAAGGCTGCTCATTTTAATTTTTCTCACCCGTGTTTCCTGCTACTCTGTTTCATGAGAAGCTGGATATTATCTTTCTTTAACCTACTGTTTTAATATTCCCCTGTAGAAAAACACATCAAACTTTTTGTTAAGTTTGTTGGGGAGACAGCTGAATGATTTAACGCGTTAGGACTTCTAGTGGAACAAGAGTGGGAAATGACGTGTTAGGCATTTGAGGATAGTGCGGAGGAGATCATATAAGAAGGACATGAAAGCTCATGGGCTATCGTAGGGCCAGATGATAAAGAAAGCAAAGGGTACAGTAAAATGACGTTGGGCTAATGAAGCTATACGTTACACTAAGAATTCAAGGGAATAGTAATACGATTTATTTGGTCTAGTTGGCTGTATATCCCCATGATTAATGTATAACCAGTTTTGAATTGATAACCAAATAAACCGTCTGTTGCATACGGACATTTTTCTTGCAGACTTTACTCAGAGATTATTTCTTTAAACTTCCTGCCGAACCTTGGTGGCTAACCTAAAAATAATAATACCAAGCGATGAATCTAATGTATAGAACAATCTTTATTTGATATTCGGAAACCAAATAAAACAATTAAACCATGAGGTGTAAAATTGAACTAAGCTACTTGAAACCTTTACTCTCATAGAGAGTCAGAGCAGGGGCTCAATGAACTCAAGTAAGATGAATAATCAGAATATTAGTGGAAATATGTTTTCCGCCACTATTTCCAAAGCAAACTGTTTTTCTGGTCCTGTTCGAGTTTCTATGTCAATAACAATATTCGTGTTCTCTTAGAAAGCATATGCTGTTTTAGATTTCAGTGATTCAGCGGTTATATAGTATACATATCTGAAAATATTGGTTTGCTGCAAGGGTGTCAGTGGCATAGCGGCATAGTTCTCGCCGATCATGCAGGTGGCCTGGGGTTCGATCTCCGGCCGCCTCACTCCCCAACCTCACTAATCCAGTAGTAGGACTGGTGAAGTTAAGACATTCTGGTGTAACCCAACCCTTACTACTACAATTTGTTAACTCCCGTATTCTGCCTATTATTCTCTATTGTTCCCCCTTAGTCTTTCCTGGGCTATTGAAGAAAGACTATACCTTATTACGTAGGATGTTAAAGGTTGTCAGCAGGGTAAGCAGTTTGCCACTTAGCCAGCTTGTTAATATTCTGGTGGACAGGCACATGGACTCATGTGAAAAATCGGCGAAATCCATTTTATCTGACTCACCACACCCTCTACAT